CTCCATCTGCAGAATCAATCTTAACCCATTTCTTCTTCTTCTCTAAATGCTCTCTCATCTCCACTCCTTTACAAAACCGATCTTAACCCATTTCTTTTTCTTCTCTTCTCTCAAGAGAACTTGAGAAATTGAACCCAGCTACTGAGTTTCTCCACTCCATCTGCGGAATCAATCTTAACCCATTTCTTCTTCTTCTCTAAATGCTCTAATCAATCAAACTCTCAAATTTATTAATCAAACAATATCAATAAAACTCTAATCAAATTCCAATAAAAATACAATCAAATTGTAAATCAACTCTCAAATTTATTAACAACTGGAAATGAAAATCGAAAAAAGAATGAAAAAACATGAATCCATCATCAAAACAGCAAAACTGGCTTCATCGAAACCCAGCTAGGTCTCGTCGAACCCAGTAGCTAGGTTTGGGGAAACCCAGCTAGGCTAGGTTCATCGAACCCAGCCTGCTGGGTCTCGTCGGAACCCAGCAAGGGAGACCCAGCTACGCTGGGTTCGACGAGACCCAACCTTGCTGGGTCTCCCTTGCTGGGTTCCGACGAGACCCAGCAGGTTAGGTTTCGACGAGACCAAGAGCAACCATCGGAAGTGGAGACCCAAGGCAGGAAAGAAAGAAAGAGAAAGAAAGAAGGGGAAGAAGAGGGATTGGGTGGGTGAGGGTAGTTAAGTAATTTTATTTGTTTTTATTTAAACTATAAATATTAATCTACGTGTCATTTTTTTTATTTATATAACATAATTAAAATATATATTATTGCCACATCATCAAAAAAATTAAAAGATAATGCCACATGAAATTATTTAACTGCCACATCATACTTAACTGACGGAAGGATCAAAACTGTGCAATTTTTAGAGTTAAGGGATAAAAAAAATGCAAAAAATTGTTGAGGGATCAAAAATATACATTTCTTAAAGTTGAGGAACTAAATTTAGCATTTAACCTAACATGATAGATTTTGAGTGATCAAAAATACCACAAATAGCGATATCCTCAAATACAGCAGATTTTTTTCCCAAAAGAGCAGTCTTTCGACAAATATTCTTTATCAAGAATTCTTAGCCATGCTTATGGTTATTGCTAATTTTGTTTAGATTATTAAAATTATTAAAATATTATTTTAATTTAATTACTAAAAATAATTAATATTTATTATTTAATATAATAAACTCAATTATAAATAAATATTTCTAAATAACAAAATTAATTATTTAAAAAAACTATAATCTAATAAAATTAGAAGTAAAATTAGTGGCTTTAATAAAATTAATAATGGTTATAACATTACCCCATTGAATGGGAAAATGAAAGAAGAGATTCTAAATATAAAACAACCACAAGGATAAATCCATTGTTAAATAAGTATTAATTTATAAATTAGATTTAAGGTTTATGGTTTAAGTTTTAGAGTTAGTAAATAGAAAAAACTAATTTTTTTAAAGTTTTTTTAATCTATACCCAATGATGTAATTATTGCATTTTTATATTAATTAATATTAACAAATAAATATTAACCTTTGTTTAAATAAATATATAAATTAAAATGATTTATATAATATTAGTGATGAAATTAATAATAATTTTTTTATATTTTTTAAAATTAGTTAATATAAAAAATATAATAATTATATTTTTAACTTACACATTAAAAATATAAATTAATTATTATTATTTTTTGAATATACGAGGGCTTTGTGGATGAGATCCCTTAAAATAGCTAAAGAAATGATTAATTTCGAGTTGAACTTAAGATTGCCCATTAGTCTTTGAAGTGTTGCAAATCGAGCCCCATAATTTAAGTTGTGTAATTGGAGAACGTTTGAACTTTGAACTGCAAATTTTTTAACCGAAACCCAAAGGTAAAATATATATATATTTTTTTAATTTGTACTTTTCAAAATATAAGTTAAAAATATTATTTTTTTGTTAAATTTATATAAAAAATGTAAAAATAAATATTAATTTAATTATTATATTATGTAAATAAATTTAATTAAATAATTAATAAATTAAATATTTTTTTATTCTTTCGAGTTGTTAACATGTGTGCCTTAAGGTAAAAAAAAAGAAAAGGAAAAAGGCGAAAACGAATTAACTAGAAACCGACACGCAATAAAAAAAGGTTGGTCGCTGTAAAATAATGACCACCATAACGAACCAAAAAATACAAATCTAATCGGAGCGGGTCCCCGTCCCGACATTTTCCCCAACCAGCTGTCGGAATACAAATCACATCCTCCTGCTCTTATTACCTTAACTAAAAGCACTTCCTTTTGTGTTTTTGGATTTCTGATTCCGACCCACGGTTTAATCTCCGGTCCGGCGGACCCCAAAGATATAGATCGGAGAAAATGATTGAGAAGTGTTTGGGAGTTCAGAGATCTAGAAAGATCCACAGAGCTCTCCGTCACTGTAAGGTCACCGTCCTCTGTCTCGTCCTCACCGTTGTTGTGCTGCGTGGTACCATCGGCGCCGGTAAGTTTGGTACCCCAGAGCAGGACTTCAACGAGATCCGTGACCACTTCTACTCTCGCAAGCGTGCCGAGCCGCATCGTGTTCTTGAGGAGGTGCAAACGACGTCGTCGTCGTCGTCGGTTTCGGAGGCAAAGTCCGACGCCGACAGCAATAACTATAATGCGTTTGATATCAACAAGATATTGATAGATGAGGAGGCCGGCGACTCGAAACCTGACCCTAACCAGCCTTACTCTCTCGGGCCCAAAATCTCAGATTGGGACGAGCAGCGAGCGAAATGGCTTAAAGAGAACCCTGATTACCCGAATTTTCTTGGTCCGAACAAGCCGCGGGTTCTGTTGGTCACTGGGTCGTCGCCGAAACCATGTGAGAACCCTGTCGGTGACCATTACCTGTTGAAATCTATCAAGAACAAGATCGATTACTGTAGGTTACATGGGATCGAGATATTCTACAATATGGCGCTTCTAGATGCGGAGATGGCGGGTTTCTGGGCCAAATTGCCGTTGATTCGGAAGCTTTTGCTGTCACATCCGGAGATTGAGTTTCTGTGGTGGATGGATAGTGACGCTATGTTCACTGATATGGCGTTCGAACTTCCATGGGAGAGGTACAAAGATGCCAATTTGGTGATGCACGGTTGGAATGAGATGGTGTACGATCAAAAGAACTGGATTGGGTTGAACACTGGGAGTTTCCTGCTGAGGAATGGGCAGTGGGCTCTGGATCTTCTTGACGTTTGGGCACCCATGGGTCCTAAGGGAAAAGTTAGAGAAGAGGCTGGAAAGATTCTGACCCGGGAGCTCAAGGATCGACCTGTTTTCGAAGCTGATGATCAGTCAGCAATGGTTTATTTGCTTGCTACACAGAGGGAAAAGTGGGGTGATAAGGTGTATTTGGAGAGTGCTTACTATTTGCACGGTTATTGGGGGATTTTGGTTGATAGATATGAGGAAATGATTGAGAATTACCATCCCGGTCTGGGTGATCATAGATGGCCATTGGTGACTCACTTTGTGGGATGCAAGCCATGTGGAAAGTTTGGAGATTACCCTGTTGAGAGGTGTCTGAAGCAGATGGATAGGGCGTTTAATTTTGGTGACAATCAAATTCTTCAGATATATGGGTTCACACACAAGTCTCTGGCTAGTAGACGGGTGAAGAGAGTTAGAAATGAGACTGGCAATCCGCTTGAGGTGAAAGATGAACTTGGATTGCTTCATCCAGCTTTCAAGGCAGTTAAGTTATCTTCTTCTTGAAGACCAATAGTCTTTGCTGCCAAAATGGTAAGATGTAATGTGCAATGTTTTGTATGAAATGCTTATCTTTCCTATGTGCTAGGTGCAGCATTAGTATTCTTTTGTTCCTTACTTTGCTTAAATTATAAGTCTGTAATGCTTCCAAAGGGAACAGCGCTCATTATTTCGTTTGCAGCTATTCAATTTTGTAAAGTCTCAGAAAATTTCATTCTGTCAATAGTATGTTGTGGTAATACTTGATTGCTTAGACCTGTTTACAACTGAATTGCAGTATTGTATCTCAGTTAGCCATGTTTATGTTTGCTTCATCACAAATCAGGGATGGTTGTTGTCCATTAGTGGTATTAATCATCTATCTTAAGGCTACTAAGCAAACAGGTTATCTTGTTTTTTTCTTTAGGATTCGTAGCTGATCTAAAATCCCTGGCCATAGCATCGTTTGGTTTTTCACAGTTCATTTCCACTTCCATTGCAATATACTCTGATGTTTGGCTTCATAGGAAATTTTGTGCTAATGTGTAATCTTTGTTTAGATCTCTTTAAGCTTATTTTTATTTTTATATTTCCTCTTGTGAAAATGCTTAGGTTGTCTCGGAGATTTGTCAAAGGATCTGTATTGATGTTCCTTTTTTTTTCCTTTTTTTTTTTTTGATAAATGTATTGATGTTATTAATATTTCCTGGTTAAACAATTTCCTAGTCTGTGTACTAGCATATTACTGAAGAAAGATGCATTCATTGCTCATCCTAGTTACTTTATAATCTAATATATCCTTACGTAAGCAATATGTAATGTCTTGACGAAGCAAAGAATAGCTTGCTGAATATATTGAATATTGATCATCCCAGTTCCTAGATGGCCCTCAATTCAAATATTGATGTTTTAGTGAGGGAGTGAGAACTGACCAGAATTGTTAAGAATTATTGGGAAGTTTCTTTTTAGTTTAGGTATCTAGCTGGGATGATTATTGTCAACTAGAAGTTCCAAGGAGAGATACTGGCTGTGGCACAATGCTTGCGTGAAGTCTTCTGGTTAGGTGAAAGGGACATAAAAATTATTGCTAAACCCAAAATTTCTTGGCCGGTTACCTTTAAAAAATGGTTATTGGCTAGTGCCAGTATACAAGTCAATTTATTGAGGTCTTAGGATATGTTTACTGGTCAGCTGGAATTCAGTATGATTACTTTATTCTGAATTTGGAGCCATATAAGGCCTGCACGTTCAGCATTATATTTTATTGGAGAAATATCAGAAAAAATATTGGAAAGACGCATGTGTTTCAGCATATGCCAACGACTTAAGTGGTTTCAGTGTTCATCTCTTTTTTTTTTGGAAATAAGAAGTCTTGAGTTCGAGTCATATGATATACGGGTAGAGAGGGATAAGGAATGAAATGATTGTTTCTCATTGTGCGATAAAAAAAAAAAAAAATCTGCTGTTGCGATTTGTTGCGTAAGCAATAAACTTGTAAATTTCTCATGTCTGCATTGCGTTTATACTTTGTTCTTGTACTCTTTGTTTCTGTTCCTCTCATTTATCCAGTAACACACTATTCGAGACCATCTATACATGATCAAATAACCATTTTATGTTCATAACTTTGTGGGTATACCGGTATACACTACAAAAAAATTATCTCTTGTAACGCCTCATTTCTTGCTTTGAGATGTTTTGAGCATAATTTAGGTAATTGTGACACAGAAGTCTAGAACTTTTAAGAAATTTCAGCACTAATATTATTTTACTAATGCTTTGGTTAACGCTAAAATATATTATATGTAACATCCTCTATTAGGACAGTCTATATTAGAATGGTTTATTTTTGGTTAAACCTCTATTTTGGTCTTTCAACTATTGTACGAACCTTTGATTTAGTCATTCAACTCAAAAAATCTCTGATTTAATCCTTATAATTTACCATTTTAACCCTAACGTGGTCCCTCTGTTAAAATTTCGCCTATGTGTCCCATTACTTGACAAAAAGAGAAACAGGACACAGTAAAAACTTTTTGACACAGGATCTACAGCGTGGCAAAAACAATGATGTGGCAAAAATAATTAAAAAATTCCTTTTTTTTTTCTTTCTTCCTTTGTTTTTCCTTTTTCCTTTTTTCCTTTCTTCTTCCTCTTCCTTTCCTTTTGCCTTCTGCAAACCTTAAAACCTTTTAAACCTAACATGCCTGGGTTTGATTGAACCCAGCACACACTAGATTCAATTGAGCCCAACACTCTTGGGTTCGAAAAGAACCCAAATCTGGGTCGCACTTTTTGTTTAAATTCAAATTAAAGTAAAATAAAAAAATCAAAGAAATACCCAAATTTATTTGATTCCAAAATTTAATACTTTCCAATTCTGCAAAATCAAATAAGTACTCAAAATAAATACCTAGATTTGCAATTCCAATTCTTATCATTCAAATTTTAATGCTTTCATAGCCAAAGTTGCAGCAATCAAGATTTGAAAAATAAATCCTAAATACAAATGTGGGTGTAAAAGGAACTTAGATTTGGATTGCCTCTTAGATCTGGATTTCCTCACACCCAAAATCGACCTTCTCCTTTACATGATATTCACATAACAAAGGAACCCAGCAAGTAGTTTAAACCCCCATTAAATGCCCTCTCAAACCTTCTAAAAAACCCAGAAAAATCAAGGTATCTTCAGTCAAACCCAACAACAGTTCTTCAATCGAATCTGGCATTCTTCAATCAAACCCAACAAGGGTACATCAATCAAACCCAACAAGGGTACATCAATCAAACCCAACATTCTTCAATCAAACCCATTAGGGGTTCTTTAATCGAACCTAACAGTGCCTGTTGGGTTCGATCAATGAACCTAGCAAGCGCTCCTGGGTTCGATTGATGAACCCAGCATGAACCCAGTGGCACATGCTGGGATCATAGATCGAACCCAAGAGTTCGATGAACCCAATGGTGCCATTGGGTTCATTGATCGAACCCAAGAGCACTTGTTGGGTTCATCGATCGAACCTAGCGACATTGTTGGGTTCTTGCTCCTGGGTTCGATCGATGAACCCAGCATGAACCCAGTGGAACATGCTGGGTTCATAGATCGAACCTAGGAGTTCGATGAACCTAGCGGCGCTATTGGGTTCATCGATTGAACCCAGGAGCACCTGCTGGGTTTATCGATCGAACCTAATGACGTTGCTGGGTTCTTGCTAGGTTCAATCGATGAACCCAACAGGCACTCTTGGGTTCGATTGATGAACCCAGCGAGACCACTGGGTTCAGCTATCGAACCCAACAAGCATCGTGCGGCTAGGTTCTTGTTGGGTTCATCGAGCGAACCCAGTAGGCATCAATCAAACCCAAAGCCCCTAAGGCCAACAAACCTGGGGGAAGAAGATGAATACTAGAGATGAAAATGAAGGGGTAACGAAAAGAAAATGGAAAGAAAGTGATGTGTGGTTGAAGACGAGGGTAAAAAAGTAATTTTAGTTTTACAATTAATTTTAGATATTTTAATTTTTATTAAAAATTACATGTAAGTTTTATATGCCATACTGTCAATCCTACATGTCAAAATATTTTTACATGTTATCATTTTTCGTCATCTAACGGGACATGTAGGCGGAATTTTAACGGAAAGACCAAGTTGGAGTTAAAATGGTAAATAGAAAGAACTAAGTTAGAGATTTTTTGAGTTTAGGAACTAAATTGGGAATCTGCATGATAGTTGAGGGATCAAAATGAGGGTTTAACCTTCACTTTTTAAGCATTACGATTGAGGGTTTTCTCTTTTTTTTTTTTTCAGTGATGGTGAGCCGCAACGATTTGGAATGTATTCTTACTCGTAAACTTGGTTTTTCAGCATTGTATCTTATTTTCTTCAATTAGACGCTAACGCATTTCAGTTGTGGATTGGTTGGTACAGAAGCTTCACCACATGGCCATGCATATGCTTAACTACTATGTTATTTATTTATTTTTAAATGCTAAAGGAAAAGGGAATTGGGGGAATATTATTCGGGTTTATTCTATTACTACCATTATAGTATTATTATCTGGGAGCGTTCAGAATCTTGATGAGCTGGGTAAATTGATGTCAGATTCTTCCTTGTTCCTGATTTTCCTCACTTTGCCGAAAATTTTTTTATGCCATCACCTTGGTTTTTCCCTTCCGCAGAACCCTCAAATCACCCCCTGACAAATATGAGTAGAGATGGATCCACTCCTCAAAAAAAAGCAGGAACAATGACACCCCAAAAGTATCGATTTTCCCAAATCGATCATTATCTAACAGGCGACATCATCACCGTCACAATCTCCGTTTAGCCTGTGCCAACGTGTCGTTTTTTCACACGCTGGATGCTGATGTGTACCAATTTCCACCTGTGAGACCAAGGTGTTCGACAACTAACCATAATTTACCCTTAACTCTAGTTAATACCCTAACCCACTCCTATCCCCCCCACCCCCTCTGTTCTTTTTAGCTCCCCTCTGCTTTTGGCATTTTGCTCTCCTCCTCCTCCTCTGCGGCTGAAGTGTTTGTTATCTTCCACAATGGGTGTGTTTCTCCGGCTCCACCTCCTCTGGCCCACAACATCACCGCTATTCTTGATGGGTTCCCTGAATATTCTCAGTTCAACAACTACCTCACCCAAACAAAGCTTGACGACGAGATCAACAGTCGCCAAACAATCACCGTCCTAGCCCTCAACAATGGTGCCATGTCTGCCCTGGCGGACAAACACCCCCTCTCTGTCATCAAGAACGCTCTTAGCCTCCTCGTTCTTGTCGACTATTTCGACGGAGGGAAGCTCCACCAAATCTCCAACGGCACCACTCTCAGCACCACTCTTTACCAAACTACCGGTAATGCCCCTGGGAACCTAGGCTTCGTCAACATCACCGATCTCCAAGGAGGGAAGGTCGGATTCGGCTCCGTCGCTCCCGGCTCTAAGCTTGACTCTTCCTACACCAAATCAGTCAAGCAAATCCCCTACAACATCTCTGTCCTCGAGATTAGTGCACCTATTATTGTGCCAGGGATTCTGACGGCTCCGCCTCCGTCCGCTTCCGATTTGAACATCACTGGTTTGTTGGAGAAAGCCGGATGCAAAACGTTCGCTAGCTTGCTTGTCTCGAGTGGCGTGATTAAGACCTACCAATCGGCGCTTGATAAAGGCTTGACCATTTTGGCGCCAAATGATGAGGCGTTTAAGGCTACTGGCGTCCTCGATCTGAGCAAACTAACAAACGCCGAAGTGGTATTGCTTCTGGAGTATCACGCATTGCCAGCGTACACTCCTAAGGGGACACTGAAGACGACGAAAGATCCTATCTCTACGTTGGCCACTAACAGTGCTGGAAAGTTCGATTTGACCGCTACATCTGCCGGTGACGATGTGACGCTTCACACTGGAGTTGACTCGTCGCGAGTCGCGGATACAGTGCTTGACTCAGCACCTGTCTCCATTCTCACCGTAGACAGCTTGTTGCTAGCTGAGGAGCTATTTGGCAAGTCTCCATCTCCGGCACCGGCTTCGGAGCCCGGCAAGAAACCAGGTGGGTAGTATAGATTCTGTTTCTGGTTGTATTACGAAACCTAAGATCTTTTCTTAGGTACACATCAGCATCCAGCGTGTGAAAAAACGACACATTGGTACAGGCTAAACGGAGATCGTGACGGTGATGACGTAACCTGTTAGATAATGATCGATTTGGGAAAATCGATATTTTTGGGGTGTCATTTGTCCTGCTTTTTTTTGAGAGGTGGATCCATCCCTACCCATATTTATCAGACGATTTAAGGGTTCTGCCTTTCCCTTTTTGAGTTTTATCAGAATTTGTCCAGAATTTGTACAGCACATAGAGGTTTACTGATAACCTCAATGAAAAAAAGTGTTTGAACACCTAAAATCTAGATTTTATACCTCAGTTTTCCTTCTCTGAAATTCTTTATTATCAAAAAAAAAAAAAAGTTTGACCAGAATTTTTGTGGTTTTTCTTTTTAACAGACCTTGCGATTGAAAAAATGTT